AATAATAACAATAAAGTTTATTCTTAAAGTTATTAAAGGCCAAATAATGTAAAATAAATAATAACTTTTGTCTTACAATAAATAAATGAATTAGAATAGCAAATAAATTTTTCCTTTTTTGGTTATTATTAAATAATTAGTTATAAATACTATAACATATTTTTGCTAAATAGTAATCTTATTTATGTTTTCAGCAATCGATATGAAGGGTGCTCATAGGTAGGTAGATGTTATATAATAAGTGTTCACACTGTAAAATAATAGACATTACTTTTGTAACAGAATACTGGCAAATATTTATAATATAATAATCCAGTGTTGTTAATACTGTAAAAACAATTGTCCAGAGTAATATAATTTTAAAATTGCTTCAAAAGGATGAAAAATTAGATATCGCATTTAGTCTTTCTTGACCCATGGACAAACTTAATTATGTCACGATAGGTTTCAAGCGTGAAAACCTCCTTCTGCGCTTACCACAGTTACAGGTATAATCAGTAAAATTCTATACGTAATAAATGCATTCGGAAATGGTTTTAAATCTGATGAATAAATCTCAAAATCCTTGCAGCTATTTCCACCTCAGGCAGTAGAAGTTCTCAAAAAACCTTAAGTTCAGAAAAAAAGTCATTTCCTCAAACATGCTTTTCTTCTCCAAAACTTAGGAACGATTCTAAGTCTTTACATCTTTGAAACAATTTATCTTCTTTTACTACTTTTAGTACTTTTTAGTTTTTTTATATGATACAAAAGCCCAAACATAGTATCGTAATTAGTTATTTGTTCAAATTTTCTGCAATAAAAATACTCCACTTTAAACATTTTCTTGGCGGATTCTGCCATAGGATCTCTCATCGTACTCAAACGTTCTTCGTTTCTTTCTCTGCCTGGCTTCTTTAAAATTTGGTTCAACACCAAGTTCTCTTACTAACAATGTTGCCGGCACAAAACCTAAATTAACTTTTTCTGAAAAAAACTGAACTAGCCTTTGATGCAACTGCGACGCAACTCCAAGGTGCATTTTTGGAATCTGTAGGCTTTTTTTTCATAACTTATTTCATTTATAACTGATGGTGTTTCACTACTGTTTTTTTTTTCGGATCCTCAGTGAACTCAACTAGCTTAACTAATACAGTATAAACTTCCTTAATTTGATATAGAGACGCTTTTCCCCTTTATAGTTTACTTTCCCAATGAGTGTCACAGGACCTTTTTACAGCCAGATTTAGTATTAAATAAAAATTTGCCATTGCATTTTTGACGAAGAAAAAAGTAAATAAATTCTTTGCACAACACCAAAAAACGTTATAGATTTAGATAATCGTTTTGCTGCGTCCTAAATTAGGAGGTTGAGGATATGGCTAGCGCAGGACATGTAAAATGCTTTTGGATTTTTTTCTAAGATCTGTGCCTGTACTCAAGAATTGATACTTTTTGTATTGGAACCGTTGTCATACCATTGTCCTCTTCAGTCCTTGATTTGCAATCTAATTTTATCTAACTCTTGTAAAAGAACACTGGTTAGATTTTTTCCGTTGTTGATTTAACATCTAAGAATCCAAGGAAATGTTCTTTGATACTTACATCTTCATTTTCACTCTTAAGAGAAGTTGTATTAATATTAATTTTTACAAATTGCATGACCAATGATAACTGTTTCTTCTGACTAAGATCCGGTGTGCAGCTTTTTTATTTTTTAACTTTTTTTATTTAACTTTTTTAATAATTTTATTTTACATTCGTTACTTTTGAATTTTATTTTAAATTCTTTCATTTAATACGTTCTCGTTTCTTCTTTTTAGATATTTTGTTTTTTCTTCTTTTTTAGTTTTAAAAAAAAAATGAAATTTTCGCCTGATCTATTAATTTCTTTTTAACTTTTTTTTTTTCACTCTTTAAAAAAGTATTTTAAGCCGTTAAACAGAAGAGCTTCAATAACTTTGAATACGGCCTTCTATAATGATTTATTAAATTATTATAGAATTATTAAACTATTATAGAAGCCGTAGCTTCGAACAATGATTTGCGTTTTTTTGTTCGCTATTATCACATACGAAGGAGAATCATGTTGATATTAAATATTAATTAAAAAAAAATTTAATTAATAAATAATTGCACGGGTAACTAGATATTTTGTATGAATATTATTGATATATTATTTTTATTTGACCAAAACTAAGGCAAAAGTAAGGCGTTGCTGGGCGAGGCCTTACTCTCGTTAACAATAACTAAAACTTTTGATTGCTCGTGTTTAGAATGGCATCGCCGCGCGAGACCTTCCTAACCGTGAGGTCTGGAGTGGCTGCTCCACTCCCTAAGGACGCCACCCTATGGACGGGTCTGGTTAACCATAATTACAATTACAACATCGACAAAAGTTGTATTTAAAAACATGGTTATGTTATTTTTAAGTTTAATAATATATTTGATTAACTTTTTATAGAATGTTGTAAAAGTATAGATTATTCTGGCATGTAGATGCCATGACAGATTTAACATTTTTAACATTTATATAATTCAAAGATTAAAATCTTTCTGACACACACAAGGGTTCATTTTGTACCTAAATTTATTGACATATATTGATCAATGCAAGTATTAAGTATTTTTCTGACACAATAGCAGGTATTTTTTCTTTTCTTTTTTCATTGCAATTTTATGATACTATTTATGTTATGCTATATTTCTATACTATATAGGCTTGTAATTCCATGTGGAAAAATCAAACTTCTTCCAATAACCCCCAAGTTTTAACGAAATTAATTTTTTATTGAAGTTATTAAAAACTATGTTGTTTTATTTTGTTATTAATATTGTGTAAAAATATTTTGATCTTATTTTCAAAAAAAAGTTTTAGTTTTGCATGAAGTGTGTCGTTTCTTTAATGTCGTTTTTGTTTAAAACATTTATATAGTAAGAAATAGTAAATTCAATTTAGGGCACATTTTATTATTATTGTGTAATATGCATCAGACAGCTAAAATTGTCGAATATCACCCGTTTGTTGATCAACGGTAGTGCAGTAGTGGAAGAGCACTTGCCTCATAATCGAGAAGTCCCGAGTTCAGTAACCACCACATTCATGGTAGTACCGCGTTTAACTTGTTTCTCCGCGCAGCGACCTTGCTCGTCATGGTTTGTGTTTTGAAGTTATAGAGTTGAGAGAGGGTTGTAACCACAACTTAAGTAGGTAAATTAACACACGAAAAAAGAGAAGGTAAATTACCACACAAAAAAAGGCTAGACACAAATTAATAAATTATCTTCTTTTCTTTTTGCTGCGAAAAAATCAGAAAACTTTCCTTACTATTTTATCTGCGCACAATCAAGTAATAATTACTTTAAATCACCAAGCTTAATTGTTAGTAAAAACTTTTCTTTAATTAAATCTTTAATTAAATAATTCTTGCGTATTTACAGATCACAAACTTTTAAAAATGTTAGTTTTAAGGGTTAAAGATAAATAATTTAACGTTTATTTTGTTTTGTTTTTTAATTGGTTTTTTTCGCCTTCTACAATGAATACAATATTCATATATATACAAAAAAATAAGTAATGGCCGGAGCAAAATGAATACATAATTCTGTCTTATCACCGAGTCCCATTTTTATAAAATCGTGATTTATGAATATCATATCATATTGGCGTAAATTTGCAAAGTAATAGTTAGTAATTGCTAAAATGCTTAAATTATCTGCAGTTCCAAAAAGAAAGAGAAGGCAGCTGCAGTTGCAAAAAAACGATTATATACTTGTAATAAAATTAAAAAATCCTACATCAATTCATGCTGAATTAGATTTGTGGGAAACATTTTGGAACAATCAATCTGTGATCCCATCCACTATTGCAGAAACTTTAAAATCTTTTGATATGAGGTGTTTCCCAAACATTAGGGAAGGTTTTTTATAATGGAAACAATTCCAATTACTACATGTGAATGCAAGAGGAGCATTTCTGTTATACGCAGACTGAAAACTTATATGCGAAACGGCATGACAGAGTCGAGATTTAATTCTTTAGCTCTGATGTCTATTCATCAAGAAATAATTCCTGATGTAGAAAGAGTTTTGAATATTTTTTCTGTTTTAGGGGAACGACGCTTAGAGTTGGTTTTTACCTAATATTAATTTATTCATTTCTTTTTTTGTTTATTGACTATATTCTTTTATTTTAGCTTATTTTATATTTAAGTTTACTTTATATTTAATAAAAATTAGAAAAAAAAAAAATAAAAATTTAAAAAAAAAAACTTTAAAAAAAATTTGGCCTAACTGCCTATCAAGAAAAGGAAAGAAACCAGAAATGGAGGGCTAACCTAAGGCAAAAATACAATTACTTTACTCTAACTGCCTACCAAGAAAAGGAAAGAATCCAGAAATGGAGGGCTAACCTGACGCCACATGGCAGTTTACAGATGGAGTGCAAAGTCCTATGGCTTACCTTCTCGTTGGTGCACTTCGTTAAATAGGTTAGACAAGTAAAAAATGTCTAATTTATGAACAGAATAGCCAAGGCAACATTGTTGTTAGTTTTGTTTTACATGGATAATTGAGAACAATGCCCGGTAAGTAATAATAAAGTACTGATGCCGCTATGAACTACCTCCTCGCTAGCCTGGGGGAGGGGTTTACAAAAAAAATATCGCAAACTATTTTGGCAACTCAAAAAAAAAACAGACAACACCCACAAAAAATCCTGCATCCGCCCCTTATATATATATATATATATATATATATATATATATATATATATATATATATATATATATATATATATATATATATATATATATATATATATATATATATATATATATATATATATATATATATATATATATATATATATATATATATATATATATATATATATATATATATATATATATATTTGTATATTTTATATAAAATTTCAAAAGAATTCTAAATAAAATTAATTTAATTATTATGCAATAAGCAATTAGATTATGATTTAAGCTATAAAAACATACCTAACGTACCTAAATAGACATTTAACAAAACTCATTTTTTTTTTGTTGTTGTTATTTTTTTTGTTTAGCAAAATTTAGCTTTCTTTTTTAAACAAAACAACTCTTACTTTAATTGACAAGTTTAAATAACATTGGCAACTGAAAAAACGATAAATAATGAATGATAAAATAAGATAGAATCATTATTTTTAATAAACTATTAACTATTAAAAACACTCCTGTGGCTTTTTTTCAAATATAGCATCTTCAAGTATTTATCGTTTGCTGTTTTATAATAAATTATTAACATGTTGAAAGATATTTATATATACATATATATAAATATATACATATATATGAATATATATATATATATATATATATATATATATATATATATATATATATATATATATATATATATATATATATATATATATATATATATATATATATATATATATATATATATAAGGGAAAACGTGGCAAGATGGCGAATGTTTTGAAAGTCCTGAGTTATAGCAAAACTATCAGTTATGAAGCAATAATACTTTGTCTTTTATGTTTATGTTATCATAATGATTCGTTACCTGTATGAGTTTTCAGTTTGCAAGTTGAAAAACTTAAAATTAAAATTAAATAAAAAGTTCATAAGTTACTAATAAGGTCTCGTGCGCGGGACAAGTTAACTTATTATGCCATTTCTGCTTCTATGTCCAGGGGAAGATGACTTATTATGCTATTTTTGTCTCCAATTTTATAAAATAAATAAAATTTTATTGCAAAAAAATATTCTTAAAAACTTACACCCAAATGACTTTATTTAATGAATAACCGAAACCGAGGTATTTTCTTTTTAAGCGCAAAAATTAAATTTATGCGTTTAAAATTGCGTTAATAATATTGGAAGAAAAAAAAAAACAGTTGGCGTATTAAAAATACAACATGTAAATACAGTTTCACCAATTTTTTTACAAATACATGGAAATTCATTTCACTAATTTTTAGTTTTTGTTGAGTTGTTTAAAGAAAAGCCATTTTGCCCATTGGTCATCTTCCCCGTTTTTCCTAAGTTTTTGACAAATTTCTCAAACGTTTTTTTTTTTTTAATTAAAAGGTCATTTTTCAAAAATTTTATAATTAAACACAAGATAAAACACAACAATTTCCAACAATTTTTAATATAATGTAACTGATGAAAAATAAATAAAAAATAAACATTTGATCTCAATGATAAATATTCAATTGTAATTACAACAAAACTTATTCGTCTGAAATAAAGGATACAAATTCTAATCTTCTCGGATTTTTCAAACATTTAAACTGCCACATCTAAATCAATGTTATAACCATAGTGGATGTACATTAAAGTCAACTCAGAAAATTGTTCTATAGTTGTATTGTTCTAAGACCAACACAATCATAGGAACAATATTTTTAAGAGCACTAGCAGCACTTGATTATCTGGTTGACATCTAAGCCACATTTTTTGCCACATATTATACTGCATTAAATAACAGTTTTCATTGTACTTTTTAAAATTCGTGTTTTGCATTTGATTTGTTCAGCAATTTCTTTATTTAACTGTCTGATATAATACTCGTCCAAACAACGTTTGGGATAAACTCTTTTGTGAAAATTTAATTTTTCTTTAAGCTTATTGCAATTATTTAGAGATTTGTTAACAAAAGACCCCTTATCATTTCTTTTTTTTTAAAAACAGTTTGATGCTAGACTACTTTAAATGAAAAAAAGATAATGTAAGATAAATTAACTAGTCATCAAAAGAAAAATATTTCATAAGAAACGCTACATATCAGGCAACACTGATTTTTGAAAAGATGTAAAACAATAAGACTGTAAATTAACCATCAATTTCAGAAAATCTAGCTAATAAACTAAGCGATCATTGTCATACTGATTAGAAAGATAAAAATGTTTATGATAGCTCAATTTTTATTAACATAAGTGCAGATCAACCCGCTCTATGTGAAATCTTTGAACATATCTTATGCATATTATTGTGATTCATATTCCTGGACGTAGCACAATGGATGCTATAATTCAAGTAATAGAAGACTTTAGCTACGCAAACGACAACGAATTGTCAATATTCGTCATCTTTTATGATTTCTCTAAAGTTTTTGATATAGTTGACTTCTCTAAATTCTTTTATAAGGTTATCACAACAAATTGCTCTCAAAACTTCAAAACTTGCTTCCTAGCTGGCTTACATCATGAATTGCTAGCTACCTACACAACCTTCATCAAAGAGTAAAAACAATTAAACATGTAACCGAAAAGTAATCTATTAAAGCTGGAGTCATTCAAGGTAACGTTCTTGGACCTATTTTATTTGTATCATTAATATATGATATAAATGATTTTTTACCATCTGAGACAAACCTACAAAAATACGCCAATGATATATTAACTTACATCATCTATGACAAAGATGCAAAAAACCTACCTCATCTATGACAAAGATGCAAAAAATCTACCTTAATTATGGATGGCGTAGTGAACTAGGCAACTGTTAAAGACATGAATTACGTTGCAATTCCTTCGCCAATTCTTATAAACTCTTTTAACAATTCTTTTAAGTAGAATCAATTGATTTCTATAAGTACCTAGGAATCCAACAAAAATCTTAAGTGGGATAATCAATACTATTAAGTCAGTATACTACTTACAAAAGCGCCTTAAAAAGATTGGTCACACTCAGGATAGATCCTACGCACCTATCACAATTCATTACAGGCCTCTATACTCACGTCATGCAGTATTGCAGCAAAAACTGCAATACTGCATGACAAAAATACAACTATTCCACAAACAATTATTAAGTTATTGAGATTAATGTTATTGAGATTGACGCCACAAACTCACACCAATTCAATATCTGTTACGATATCGAAGAGCTTATTGTTAAAACAAATATAAAATTACTTAAGAAAAATCTTTCTAGCCCAACACATGTAATAACTTTAAAACTCAAACCACAGGCAGAAACCATGAGAGGATATTATATAAAACCAATACTGCTAACACTACATTGTATCAAAAAACGTTTGCTCAGAAATATTGACATATTATTATTTATTATTATTATTTAGTGAGCAAAATAAAAACAAATACAATAAATCTGTTTAAAGTTCGATGAAGAGGTACTACACCAGGCCTCTCTATGCTGACGAAAATAAAAAACACAGAAGCCACAGACAAAGCAGTAATTTTGTCTCTAAAAGTTACTTTGTTATACTGTTTTTGAAAACATGGATAGATGGAGCGTTCACTACTGCTTCGGAAAGCGAATTCCATGGGACAACAACTCTATTTGAAAAAAAAGTTTTGTCGTTGTTCACAAATTCGTACAAGCTGGCGTTCTAGTTTTTGTTTATGCCCTCTCAAAAAATACATGGTTTTAGTGTTTAAAAAATTTTGTGGAACAAAAAAACTGACAAACGGCATGGCTGCGATGAATGGCTTCCGTCATGATATCCCGAGTTTTTAGTAGGTTTGAGACGCAACCCTTGCGATAAACAAAGCCTGTTGCTTTGGAGTAATTAAGTCATTAGTAACACAGTGTTCCATTATAGTTGTTTTAAGAACACTTTCTATTATTTTGCATAAAATGGATGTGAACGAGATAGGCCGGTAGTTTAATGCATTTATTTACTTCACTTCTTGAAAATTGGTGTTAGATTTTTCTCCACAAGTCGGAGATTACACAAGTCGCAAATGAGCACTTATAGATAAATGAAAGTGGTTCGGCGAAGCTAGCTGCACATTTACTAAGGACCCGTGGATGTAAGTTGTTGTAGCCGATTGATTTTCTTTCATCAAGGTGGTAGAGGCAATTTTGTTCTATATCGATAGAAAAACTTTCTGGGCCGACAACACAAATTGCTTCAGTACGACTTTTGAAAGCTGGCAATGGGCCTACAGGCTTTAAAACAAACACCGAACGAAAATAGTTATTCAATAATGAGCATATATCGCCGGGATTGGAAGTGATGTTGTTATTAGCTGTTTCTAGTAATGTAATAGTGTTCCTGACGCTCTGTTTGGTTCGTACATGTGCATGTAAGCGTTTAGAGTTGTTTTTGTACTCACTGGCTAGTTTTTTTCCGTAACTATACACGTTTACTAGGAGCTGGTAACTATTGTTTGCATTTAGACCTGTAAATTCTGTTTCCCAATCAACAGCTGCAACGTAGATATTGCTGCGTAATTTGCTCGGCTCCAAACAAGTCGATGTTGTAATGGCAAATTAGGCAAGTTTTCAGGGCCTAGAACAGTGAGTTGACCTTCAATTAAGCAGTGTGTCTAACCCATTGTATTGTTACCGAGAGAATCACCTTTTTCGATGAAGATGGCACGGTCTAGCTTGTTTGTTATGGTCAGATCAAGTGTGCTAGTGGGCTCGACGTGTCGACTACTACGTTACGTTGAGAATGTGACAAGCTGAGTTAGGTGACATTCATCAAGGCACTTTTTAAACCTGATATTGCCTTGACGCTCATCTCTTACGTGGGCAACTGTTGCAATACCACCGTTAACTTCGATAGATGTTAGATATACTTCAAGATGGTATCGAAAACCTATACCTTATTATTCTCCCACTTATTATTTTTAACTTTATAGAATAATACTCCAGATACATTATGAAGAAAAAATTTCTTATTTTTTATCGATTGCCACACTTGAAAAAAACGGTTTTGTCCACTACCTGGGCAATTGTACATGTAGGGGAGAGCGGGGTTGGTTGTCACGCGGGTTGGTTGTCACAAAGTTTATTACAGGAAATGTAAATAAAATATAGAAATTTCAAATTATGCAATGGAAATGTTATATAAAAAAAACATTTTTACAGTAATTTTTATCTTTTTTTAGCGTGCAGAAGAAAAGTTATTCGTTTTTAAAGGTTTTTGATATGAAAAAGTAAAATTTCGCCTACTCAGAAATTTTCTTTTACCAAACGAACATTATTTTATTGTGTTTTGAATGTAGATTTATAAAGTACTTTATTCATTTGAGTAACTTAATCCGTAAAAAATTATCATGAAATTCTCACGCTTTTAGGTAAATGTACAGTTGTCCAGCAACTTACTCAGAAGGGGTTGTTTGTCACAAAATATATGGGGATGGTTGTCACACTTGCCT